GTGGGGAGGGGGTGTGCGTGTGTTAGTTGGTGCTTAGTTGATGAGATGTGGGCAAACATGGAGATGGGATAAAGTAAGGATGGTAGGGGTGTAACGGTGGTGGTGGTGGTGGTGGTACGGTGGTGGTGGTGATGATGATGATGATGATGATGATGATGATGATGATGATGATGATGATGATGATGGAGAATAAGAAAAAGAAGAACCGCAACATTGAAATTTTACGCTATTCTTCTCCAAGAACGAAAAGGATGACGACGAAGATGACAACAACAACAACAACAACAACAACAACAACAACAACAACAACAACAACAAAAATGAAGAGTATTCCGCTTCGATCACTAGACAATAATAGCGCAAACGAAACAAACGTCCTTCACAAAATTTATACACATCAAATCCCTCACAAAAAAACACATGAAAATCATACAAAGAGAATCACAAAAGTTCTACACAAAAATCACAAAAAAACCCGTTCATGAACTAACACAGGAATCATACACACAAAAAAAGCACAGAAAAACCCCGTAAACAAACTAACACACATAAAGATCCTTCATAATAAACCCGTAGACGCACCACGAAAAAAAAAAAAAAAACTACGCCAAACTTTCACAATTTCTTTCAACGAAACCGTTCCACCATCAGCTCTCACATCGCTCGGAACACAAACACAACCGGTGTCTTATCCAGTTATCTAACGCATTGGCAATAATCCAGTCGCGGAAGCAGGAATAAAATGAAAGAAAGAAATGTGGGGGGGGGGGGGGGGGGGGACCCACCCTCCTCACAAAATAAACAAAGCAATATTCTAACTGGCAGAAAACACAAACGGAGAAACAACACACAGCTCGATCTTTCTCCGGGATCTCTATGTGGGGAAGAATATTTCCGGAAAGACTGAAAATATAAAACGATCATATGAATACGAACCCCCGACCGTCTCCGAGTGAGCGAGAGACGAGAATGAGAACTGAGAACGCCGGTGCCCGATGGTAGGAGGGAGTGGCGCGGCGGGAGGGTGGAAGAAGTCCAGGCAGGAGAAAAAAAAAAGTTAAGGAGCCGAGAGAGAGAGAGAGAGAGAGAGAGAAAGAGAGAGAGAGAGAGA